ATTGGGTTATGTGCAACATTTGACAATAGACTTTCATATGCCTCTAATGAAATCCTCAAACCGTTTAGGAAGTTCCAATCAAAGAAACCCAAGAAGTCCTTGACATTATACTGATCTCTGCTTCTAAAATTGACTGGCTACGATCTATTTTTTTTCTGTCTCCATCTAACGGGATTTCCTCCTCAGAATGTACAATTATTGAATATAGACTTCTTCGACGTTAAAATTTTCAGCCCTTTGTTTTTCTGGGGTATTATGTTAAAGGGTCAAAAAATTAGGGAAACAAAATCCTCATTGGCTATCCTGAAGTTTCCTTTTAGACTATAAAGATATCAAATTCACTTCAACACATTGTAATAATACATGGACATGTTCACATTTCAGGACAACCAGTTACTGAATCTATGAATTGGGTTACTCTTGTTACAGTATCTATTATTACTAGGCACTAATATGTATAAATCTACGCTGACTGCTAAATTTATAATCCATTTGTTGAATTTAGGTGGGCAATTGTATATCTTGCACAAATGAAGCCACTCATTGTTCCAATTCTGAATGACTCGGAGTGAAGTTTATTTGGGGTTGCAGCTGATCAACCCTAAGATATGTTCTATTTTTGAGATTCAATGTATCTATGCGTTTCATTTCCTGGTTGAATCTGTGCAAGTCATAAGTTGAAGATGACCTTCGATTGGGCTCTGTATTTTTTCTGTTTCCTGAGTGTTGATTTATTTACTTTCCGTCAAATTTTTGGAAAGATGGACTGTTGTTATTCGCAGCTATTTAATACAGATATGTTCTTGTGAAATAGATACGTTTTGTGGTTGGAGCTGTTTGTTTCATCAATAAAATCATTGTTCCATGTTTCTTGTTGAGATATTCTTAGGGGATTCCAGATTTAGAACAAATTGATCATTATGGAAGAAAGTGGAAGGAGTTTCATTATACAACTTTGTTTGAAATTATAACTTTTAAATTCGTTTGTTTAGTCTTGAATTTACGTTAAATTTAGTGTTTAATAGTCTTTAAATTTAAACTTTTTTTTTTCTTTTTTCTGTCCAATTTCAATTCTTGTTGGTCCTTTACATTATATTCTTAAAAATTTACAAACTAAACATAAAATTAAAATTTTGTGAATCTTCTAGGCATAAATCAAACGCTCTATCCTGCACGAATATAAGTTTAATTTGTTTATTTGGTTTTTGAACTTTGGTCGTCTAATAAGACTAAGAACTCTTAATAAAAATTTTAATTTTGTGTTTATCGGATCATTCACAAATTTAAAATTTTAATTTTAAAATTTAATTGACCTATTAGATATATATTCAAATTTTAAGTCTAATTAAATTTAAAATTTTAATTTTTTTTTTGTTTTTAAAATTAAACAAATAATTATAAAAGTTAAATGGACAAATCTGAAGGTTCAAAGATTAAATTAGACACAAAATTAGTAAAAATAATAATAAATATCTTCAATGAATAGAAGACATAACATGAGTATATTCATTCTAAAATTTATAGAGAGAAGACCCACAGAATGTCTATAACATTAAACTAATGGTAAGAACTCGAAAATTTGTCGAAAATTATGATACTAAATTAGAACCGTTCGAAAGCAAAGAAACCAAAATGGTATTTTAACCGTCGACCTTAATATTTCGTAGTAAGAAGAGGGATGAAGAGTTGGCAATCACAAGCTGAAAATATACAAACTCCAAACTCGCCTCAATCTCATGGAAGTAAAAAAAAAAAAAGAGCACAACTTCACAAAAGAAAACCACAGTCATCAGAATCTTACACCACAAGCTTACGTTTCACCCAATTCACACCAAATCACGGTGAGTTACAAATACTTGATGAGTAGCCATATAACGGCAACAAGAACGACAATCCCGACAACCGATAAAATCATCGACATGCAAGTGCAACCACCCTTGGTCCGCTTGTTCAATATTGCCAGCCTCTTCTGCACTCGCTGTGTTCATCAAATGCACAAGTTGATACATTAATGCAATGAGTAAGGAAGCAAACGAAACAGATTCAAAGACTTGAGTACGTGATGTGATGCCCATTGTCAATACATTGCAATTGTTCTTATCAAGCTTTCTCTCATTCACAATTTACATTCCAGGTGTGTTCGAAGCATAGCTTGATTTCCTCTTTGGCCACAAGCAATCCAGTTTGAACAATATTCTTGAACATAAGTTATAGAAGGAATAATAATCTCCACGTCAATTTTGAAAGAACTTATTGTCAACCTCTTTCAGATATGAATCTATTTGATCCAGAGAGGAAGATGTTGTCAATTCAAATATGGGTTTGATTCACACTGTAACGGCCCAAGCCCACCGCTAGCAAATATTGTCCTCTTTGGGCTTTCCTTTTCGGGCTTACTCACAAAGTTTTTAAAACGTTTTTAAAACGCGTCTACTAGGGAAAGGTTTCCACACCCTTATAAATGGTGTTTTGTTCTCCTCCCTAACTAATGTGGGATTCTCACAATCCACCCCCATTTGGGGCCCAACGTCTTTGCTGACACACCAACTCGTGTCGACCTCCTTCGAGGAACAGCCTCCTCGTTGACACATCGTCCGATGTTTGACTCTAATACCATTTATAACAGTCCAAGCCCACCGCTAGCTGATAGTGTCCTCTTTAGGTTTTCCCTTTCGGGCTTACCCTCAAGGTTTTTAAAACACGCCTGCTAAGGAAAGGTTTCCACACCTTTATAAAAGATGTTTCGTTCTCCTCCCCAACCAATGTGGGATTCTCACCATTCACACCATGTTCTGAGAAATATTTACTATCCGAAAAGAGGAAAAAACGGAGTCTTTATCTAAAGAAATGCCTATAAGTTTAAACAGGGATTTCCAAAAACTAGATCCTCACCAATTGGGAGATCCAGTCATGGACAGCAAATATTTTCTATTTTTCTCAGCAGGGTGGACCCTCTCACAGTTACAGTACACAACAGATTATGCACACAACAAAACAGCCATCATGTAAGGAGAGAATTAGAACAAGACATTCATACCCGTAATCGTGAATCTGTAACATCAACGTGTTCATCTAAATCATCCTGCACCGTTGAACAGAGGAAAAAATAAGACACTTGAAAACAAGCTAAAATTTAAGAACTAATGAATTAACATGACAAGGATTGAAAGACATACAATAAGTCTGGTGTGAAGGGTAAGTTCTTCATTGACAGCCAATGCAATATGTTTTGTGCTAATTATAGTCCCTTCCAGTTTCTCGAGACCTTCATCTTGCTCTGCTCCATATATCATTATATTTTCACATTAATTAGCCTCAAAGAGATCCAGTGGTAAAATTTTGTCAATGAGTTATGTCAAATAAACCTACCTCTCATGATTTGTCGTTGAAAACCAACTAGGCCCTGGTTGTCCAAGCCTGCTGTTCTGTTCATAACATCAGCTGGCTTTATTTCTGGACCAAGTAAGCTATCACGGTTCGCAAAGTTCGACATGTTCAAAGCTGAAGCCATCTGGTTAGCTTTTGATCTCAAATTTGCTATCATGTCCCTGCGACGGTTCATCTCTTTCTCTGGTCTGCATGCCACGTAAATAAATGCCCAATTCCCAACAAAATTACCACGAAAATGCGAAGTTAGATAACTAAACCACATTTACATATACATAAAGAATATAACATTCAGAACACACAAATGGCCAATTCCCAACAAAATTACCACAAAAATGAAAAGTTGGATAACCACACCACATTTATAGATATAAATTTCTACACATTTCTTATAGAACGAAACATTTTCCGACTTAAACTAGAACAACTTATCATATAAAACGAAAAGATAGCCATATTGTTATTCTGTCAATAGTTGAAAACTGAGGAAAAGGGACGCCATATTAAACATGACTCACATTGGTTGCTTTCCTTGAAGCTTGGGTAACTGAGTCTGCAAGGTATCAAGTCTGGTACCCAATATCGTGATCTTCCTGCGAATGGCCGAAGCGTGACGTTGAGCTTCCGGGCCAGACGCAGCAAGTGAATTTCTCTCAGAAATCATACCATTGATCTCTTCAGAGAGTTTCAAAGCTTCATTGTATTCCTTCGTCCATGACTCCAAAGTATACGCCATCGGCCTTCAATCCACATACTTAAACAAAATTAGTTGTTTCACATCGTCATTCATTAAATAACCAACAGGTTCGTCCACAGAAAGAGAAGCCAGCAGAAAACAAAAGCTAGATTAAAGCTAAGCCGTTTTAATGATCTAGAAGAATCACCCACAAATTGGTAAACTAAAGGATCAAACATTTCGGTGGATTCACAAACCAAGAACAAACGAAAGAATAGAATTGAGGTCAAAACCACATAATCAAACCCTGAAATCAACAGATACAATAGAACAAACCAACAAACCCACGGAAAACTACTCTGAAAAGGAAATTAATCAAATTACCAGACAATACAGAATTCAAAATCAAAAGAAGAAGGAATTTACCCGTTCGAAATTAGAATTGAGGTTCGGGAAAAGAGGGCAATTCAACGTGCGGCTGTGGGCGATTGTATGGGGAAGACGATATAAATCCGCCACCGGCGGCAAACAACGTCCGTCGATTAATCGGAATCGGAAATCAGAACGTCGGGATTTGATTGAAGAGACCTAAAAGGAAATAAAATCAAAGGGAAAAATCAAAAGGAAAATGAAGGAAAAAGTGTTCCTTTGAGATTATTGGAACCTAACACCACACGGTAAACTATGGGTCCCATATCCACGTGTAACCAAAAAAAAAATTATGATTTAAATAAATAAGAGGGTTATAGATTTTTGATGGATGATAATTTAGGTTTACACGTGTGTGAGGGTATTTTGGTCATTTTCAAATATCGTGAAAATTTGATGAATCACAATAATTGATTCGTTTCATCTCACTTTGGTATTCGAAGCCGCTTAGAGAATCCATGTTCTAACAACTCCAACTCGACCTCTCGACTGATTTAAGGTTTGATATCTTCGGACCCTCCTTGAGAGTCGTTTCTGACACTTTTAATTCTAAATTATGATGGTAGAATTGGATTTCAAGGAGCAACGTTAAGCTAGCATCAAGGGAGCATAGTAACTTCGGGTTAGGGCAACAAAGTAAATGGTTTTACTCTTGGATGCCCACGGGCTTGGTTGGATGACTTGTACACTGCATGAATGAATCGTGTCCTATGGCTCCTACATATATCTTATTTTATGATTGTATGACGTGTATTATGTTATGTGACAAGCTATGCTATGATATGATATAAGTCCTACTATGATATGAAACTATGTTGTGGTATCAATGTTATATGATCCACGAACTTCCATATGTCACGTCATACATATTATGTTATCATGTTCACTCTATGCCTATGAGACATTGCCATTGATACGCCTGTATGTTAACCATGAAAGATATGTTCAATATACATATGCATGTCTCATAGGAACACCATGTCACGAAAAGAATGGAGGTATGGTTTGCCTTAGTATATGCCATGATTTGAAGCCATGAGACCTCATTCATTTTATATGTCACACACCTCGAGATACTCCGCATTATGATTAGCGCGAATGCATACACTACGATACTATGCATGCCATGATATTATGCAGGCACTTTACCCTTCATGACTTCCTGTTGCGTGAGTGTGCGCTAGGCCATGAGACCTCATGCATTTTATTTGTCACACATCTCGAGATACTCCACATTATGATTAGCACGAATGCATACACGATACTATGCACGCCATGATATTATGCATACACTTTTCCCTTCATGGCTTCCTGTAGCATGAGTGTGTGCTAGGCCATGAGACCTCATGCACTTTATACGTCACACACCTCGAGATACCCCCATTATGATTAGCACGAATGCATACACTATGATACTATGCATGCCATAATATTATGCAGACACTTTTTCCTCTATAGCTTCCTATAGCGTGAGTGTGCGCTAGGCCATGAGACCTCATGTATTTTATATGTCATACACCTCGAAATACTTCCCATTATGATTAGCACAAATGCATACACTACGACACTATACACGCCATGATATTATGCGGGCACTTTTCCCTCCTTAGCTTCTTGTAGCGTGAGTGTGCGCTACACAAGGTGGAGTGAGGATAGTTGCACAAGTACTTGTAGTAAATATTTTATAGAAAGAAGTAAGGGAACCCACGGTATACTAATTTTTCCCTTCTGGGGCTCTGCGTGGGAGAGAGAGAGAGATACAGAGAGATTCAGTCGTTCAAGAAGAAGAAGAAGAAGAAGAAGAAGAGATGTGTGACCTAGACCGCCAAATTGAGCAGTTGAAGAATTGCGAGCCGCTCAAGGAGTTTGAAGTTAAAGCTCTTTGTCTCAAGGCCATTGAAATCCTCGTCGAAGAGAGCAACGTTCAGAGGGTTGATGCCCCTGTTACTGTAACTCTCACTCTTCCTCTCCTCTCATGCTTTCTTTTGCACTTCTTTTTTCTTTTCCTTTTTAATTTCATGCTTTTTAACTAAGATTCTTGTCACTGTTATTCTTGTCTTTTATTCGATAATGAACCAGAATTCAGGCAAACTGTTGGGTCTTGATTTTGTAACATCATTCTTGTTTGGAAAAACTAGATTCTCGAGGAATTTTAGCGGATTGTGGCCTTAATTATTGGTATAATGACTGAGAGAGTGCAGTTGTTTGTAAGCGATTTTCTGAACACTGAAAGGGTTAATTCTCTAAAGTTACCATGGAAACAACCATAGAGAATAGTTTAGAGGATTTCTTTTGCTTCATATAGAACTCAAGAATTTTATGTTCAATCTTTTATTTTATGAAAGGCCGACAGTTTATTTCCTCTATGTTTGAGTTTTAGATTTGGGTTGATATTCATTGCTAACCTTTTTTCATTTTTCTTTTCATTTAGATATGTGGAGACATCCATGGGCAGTTTTATGACTTGAAAGAGCTTTTTAAAGTAGGAGTCGATTGTCCAAAGACCAACTACTTATTTCTTGGCGATTTTGTCAACAGAGGATTATACTCAGTTGAGACATTTCTACTATTACTTGCTCTGAAGGTGCGTTTAGTTATTTTAAACAGTTAAGCTGTAGTTTTTTTATATTGAAATTTGGTTTTGGTTTTGGTTTTATTGGCTTTCAAGACTTGGTTTGATTTTGAACCAATGCTTTAAGTTGTACACAAGGACATCTTTTTTGAGATATCTAATGGAAATTGGTGTCTTTAAATTTTGTAAGGAAGCAAATAAATAATCAACAAACTTATCTTGCCCAATAAATTGGAGACAGAGATGGAGATTCCTGGAAAATAAGTTGCTTGAGAATAAGCAACTTAACAGTCTATAGTGAATAAGACTTGTATTTGTCTTATCCCAAAATATCTCTTCTCACAACAAGTCTTTATGAAACCGAACTCAAGGTTGTTGGGAGTGAGTCCCACATTGGCTAATTTAGGGAATGATCATGGGTTTATAAGTAAAGGAATACATCTCCATTGGTATGAGGCCTTTTGGGGAAGCCCAAAGCAAACCCATGAGAGCTTATGCTCAAAATGGACAATGTCATGCCATTGTGGAGAGTCGTGTTTCCTAACACTAGTGAGGATGCAAAAATGGGTTTCAAACCTTTACATGACATGTGTGTTATGTTTGAGAAGGTAGGGGAATTATTGACAATTCATGGTCAGCATGTTAGTGTATTTTGGAGCTCTCATTTGAGATAATGCAGATTTCTTTTTAGTTATTCCTCGAACCTTATGACTCCGTGCCTCTCCCTTTAGAGATGCGGCTATAACTCTTTGGAGTGGTATAATATTTGGGGTCTTTATGAAACTTGGAATGAAAGAAATAGCCCAGTTTTCCTAAATGGGGAAATGTTTGTATGGGGATTGCATCAAGATTCAAGCTTATATTGGCGTCTTGCTCTGAGAATTTTCATTATTACCCTTTTCTGTTATTTACTCGTACTGGAAGAGTTTTTTACTTGTCAGTTATTGGATTCTGATGGATGGTTATTTTCCTCCATTAGCTGTAACTTGTATTTGATTAAATGTACTCATGAAGTTTCTTACTATAACAACAACAACAGCAACAATAACACTGATGATAATATTCCCTGGCTCTTCTGGAGTGAGTTGCAACTTTTTTCTTGCAAGATAATTGATATTGCTGTGGATGGCTTTGGCCCTGAAAAATATCGGTTGGCAGTCATATTTTTTTCATTAGAAGAAACAACATAGAGAATTAGGCCCCCACTTGTTTATGTTATCTCTTAGTTGTGTTTCTGCAAAGGATGAAAGTTGATTCGGACTATGTTATTATACCTTCAGATTTCTGGGTGTTTGTTTTTCTTGATCTTCTAGGCTTACGAGTGCTCAGTCAGGGAAAAGTTCAGAAATTTAAAGCATATGTTTGAGAGTCTGTTCTCAGTAGTTTGTTACCTTTTTTTTTTGTCATAATAAGAGGAATGTTTCTGAACCCTCTCTTTGTTAATGGCAGCTCAAACTAAGCTTCAAAACAATGAATTTAGAACCTACTTGTCCAGCTCGCCAGAAGCCTTATATTGAAAATGTGTCTGTCTTCTTACATATACTCAAAGGGTGACCAGTAAACTTGCATATGGCATCTATAAATTGCCATTTAACTGAATGCTCCTCCAAAGTAGGCAAAAAAGACAGTGAAAACTAATCAAAATTTCAAATTTGTGCACAACCCATTTTGGAACTAACCTTGGTTTTAACCGTAACCCTTTGCATGAAAACTCTAGCATGGCATAACCATGGCTTCTGTAGAGAGAAATAAAGCCTTCAAAGTTCAAAACAAGTTCTGAAAAGACAAACAATTAACATCATAAGATGTTTGTGTCAAATTTCAGTTTGTAGATACATATATGGTATGATGTATATGGTGTTGTTATCCTTAAATCTCACCCTATTTATTTTATTTTTTAGCTCAACTAAATTTATCTCAAAATAGACTTTTCATTATTAGGTTAGATATCCAGACCGGATAACTCTTATTAGAGGGAACCATGAAAGCCGTCAAATCACACAGGTTAAGTTTCTGGACTTTACTGTCCTAGATAAAATGCTTTGTTTAGTTTTCTTAATATTCTTTTTCTGTATACAGGTTTATGGATTTTATGACGAGTGTCTTTGCAAATATGACTCTATGAATGTTTGGAAATACTGTACTGATGTTTTTGATTATGTAAGGTTTGTAAATTTTGGTTTTAATCATTTATCACAGAGGGAGGGAGAGAACAAAACAAGGCATGCTTCTGTTTAGCGTATGAGAAGATGAATTTGATGGCATGATTCTATATAATGCATAAGAAATTAAGTTGGTGAATTGCATGTAAAATTATCGGGCAATTTGGACATTAATAATTGCAATTCTAATCAAGTTCCCCCCTTCTTTCTTCCTTTGGTCATTCACCAGTCTCTCGGCTCTTATTGAAAACAAGATATTTAGTGTCCATGGTGGTCTCTCTCCAGCCGTAACAACATTAGATCAGGTTAGAACGCTCCTAATTATTGTTACAGGTACGTAATCCTCAAGACTTTGCCTCAACTTTGTGCTAATCTAATGGTTCTTGACATTCTTTATTCCGTTTCAGATGTGGTAATGTAGCTGCTATACTTCAACTGGATGAAAACCTTAATAAACAGTTTCGTGTCTTCGGTGCTGCTCCACAGGTATGGTCAAGATTTTTGTTATATCTGTGAATCTGAACTCAAATATAAAATAGTTGCTGTTTATCACGTGTTATAGTATGAGTAGTTCAGGACTAGCTTTCCATGTACTCTCCTACCCTGTTGTTCTCATCTCGTTCGGTTGTAATGCACTTTTCATCAATTACCATGGGCATCCAAACCTTAAACCAAACTAATGAATTAGTTTTTTCATAGATTAAGGGGGTGGGTTATATGGGCATACTGTAATAAGTTATCTAAAACATCATTAAATAACTCTGTATGTTAATGAAACACTTGTACTGTTTTTTCCAACTTGATCTGTCTTTATCATGTGGTTTTCCATCTATAATCTATTGTGGCAAACCGTTATAAAATTTACACTGAGAACCAACTCTTTTGCCTGTTCTTTACACAACTTAGTACTTCCATAGAAATTGGAGAAGCTTTGTCCTGCTGCATATGTTGATATTAGCATACGACGTGTTGAATTGTTGATACTCTGCAGGAATCAATAGGAAATCCTGTCAAGAAACCTGCACCAGACTACTTCCTTTGAAATTGTTTCGTGTATGTTCCAATGGATACAGACAAGTTGTGCAGTTGCTTGGTGACGACAATCTCACGACACCTTGGGTGGGAATCATTAACACAATAGAGGGATACGGATTCGTTAACGAGCAAAAGCTGTGATCATTTCGGATGATTGGGGGGGTCAGCTATTAGAAATTGTCATGTAAAATGCTGATTCCTTGTCCTTTTACCCAAAGATCCAGACGGCGGATGATGATGCCTGATGGCATCTCCAAAAGGTAGGAGGTGTGCTCTCAAGTATTTCATAGGGTATAAGGATACGTTTTACATTGGTCATGGGAACTCTGGGAGGGGGAGATATCTGATGAATTATATTGGAATGGATGAGTTATAAAAGAAAAAAGTGAGTCTTGACTCCAAATTCTTCAAGAATTACTCTCTTTTTAGGCCTTGACCTTCCATTCTCTTCTTTTTGAACTGTTTCAATTACTAATAATGGATCGATCTGTTTCTCAAATCTTTACATCAATTATATTCTTTGCAGCATTTAGAAAATCAGTGAGAGTTCTAAGAATCTATCTCTATCTTAATAGTTCAACTGAGATAAAAGTAAATGTTTCGATGAGGAAAGAAAAAATTATTATCTTTGAGTCAACGGTGAATATATACGAAAATCAGATTATCCAATAGAACTCCCACAAATAATTCCTGGATCTGTTGCTACCACCAAGACAACTCATTTTGAGATTAGCAAAACAAAACAGAACTTTGACAACCAACGCATCCCCACTGTTAAGTATTTGTCTATTGCTAATTGCTAGCATGACGTGTGGGTTTGATCGTTTATCCGCTTTGTAATTACAAGCAAATTCAACCATTCAATTCCATTTCAAGATTGCCTAAATCATACTCTTCTTCTCCCCCACTTCATGATTTGTGCACAAACGAGTTAAATTTCGGGAAACCCTTTTCAAATATTAAACTCTCCCACTCAATTCTCCTCTGATTTCTTCAAATTTGTGTTCCTTGGCTGAATTCCTCATCTGGGTCACTTCTAATTTCCGCAGCTCACTCAAAATCGAAGGGAATAATCTTCTTCACGTTTCTCTGATATGGGTTCCGTTTTGAAGTTCGTCGTGTTTTCGCTTCTATTAGCTTCTGCCTCTTCCCATATCAATTCCAGCGATGAGGGTTTCATTTCGATGGTCGTATCCCAAAAGGGTCTTAACTTCATCAAGGATTTCTTGATAGACAAGGCAATTTCCTCCATCATTCCCCTTCGTTTGCCCAACATTGAGAAGACTGCCAATATTGCTCTTATCGGCAAAGTTCATATGGGTCTTTCCGATATAATCATTGGCAGCATCGAGGTCGAATCGTCGGATATTCGGATCGGTGAGACGGGTGTCAACATAGTTGTTACGAAAGCCACTGCTAATATGAGTATGAAATGGCAATATACGTACAACACTTGGTTGTTCGAAATTTCTGATAAAGGAGACGCCTCTGTTCAGGTAATTCAGCTACTCGCTAATGTTATTTGATTTGCCTGATAATTTGAGCTGGAATTTTGAAGTATTGATGTTCACAAATATGAACAAAACCTGATTGGATGCTTATGAGATAGTTCTGACTTGAATTGCTTGGAGATAGTTACAACTAGAGTTCATAGCCTCTGGTTTACCTGTTTAGGTGAATCTTGTACTTCCATCAATCAGATGACATCCTGCATATTTAGAATATAGTCCAATTCTACTTCTTAATCAACTGTGATAGACAGTAGATCTGTAGGGTCACAACTAAAATGGCTCTGATTCGTTTGTTATTACGTTAATCGTGTCTGGTATCGTAACTATTGTGAACATTGGATTTTATTGGAAACGTATAGAAAGAATGATGCAATCGAGAAACTATATTCTCAAGTGTGAGGTGGGGGACACGAGTGTGATACCTAAACTGTGAGATCCCACATCGGTTGGGGAGGAGAACAAAACATTCTTTATAAGGGTGTGGAAACCTCTCCCTAGTAGACGCATTATAAAAACCTTAAAGGGAAGCCTCAAAGGGAAATCTCAAAGAGGACAATATTTGCTAGCGGTGGGCTTGGGCTGTTACAAATGGTATCAAAGTCAGACACCTGACAATGTGCGAGCGAGGAGGTTGAGCCTCGAAGGAGGGTGGATTGGGGAGTCCCACATCGATTGGAGAAGGGAACAAGTGTTAGCGAAGACGCTGCACCCCGAAGGAGGGAGGGGATTGTGAGATCCCACGTGGAAATCTCTCCGTAGCCGACACATTTTAAAAATTTTGTGGGGAAACCCGAAAGGGAAAGCCCAAAGAGGACAATATTTGCTAGCGGTGGGTTTGGGTTGTTACATAAACCCAAGCTGATTTTCGGTCGAATTAGTGTTTTTTATTGACACCACCTTAATATAGATATTTGAGGTGGCAAATTAAACATAGGTTATCAAGGTAGATATCGGCATCAAATGTGAGTGATTTTATAGGATACAACAGTGCATCATTGTTAAAGTACCAACCTTCATTTTTCACCAAAGTTTGAAGACTTTATACGACCTCATTATCGCCAAGTTGTTTGTACTCTCACCGTTGTGGAAGCTTTATTAAGGTCCTCGTGCATCTTAATCACGTGGTATTACCTAGAGTTTTTCATATTGGCTAATTAAGGGGATGATCATAGGTTTATAAGTAAGGAATACACCTCTATTGGTACGAACCCTTGTGAGAAAACCAAAAGTAAAGCCATGAAAGCTTATGCTCAAAGTAGACAATATCATACTATTATGGAGAGTTGTGGTTTCTAACATGGTATCAGACCCATGCCCTTAACTTAGTCATGCCAATAAAATTCTCAAATGTCGAATAAAGAAGTTATGAGTCTTGAAAGTGTAGTCAAAAGTGACTTAAGCGTCGAACAAAGGGTGTACTTTGTTTAACGACTCTAGAGGAGTTGTGTCTCGATTTAGGGGAGGTTGTTTGAGGGCTACATAGGCCTCAGGGGAGGCTCTATAAGTACTTTCTTCGAGGGGAGTCCCACCTTGGCTAATTAAGGAGATGATCATGGATTTATAAGTAAGGAATACATCTCCATTGGTATGAGACGTTTTTGGGAAAACCAAATGTAAAGCCACGAGAGCTTATGCTCAAAGTGGACAATATCATACTATTGTGGAGAGTCGTGGTTTCTAACATTACCTACTCTCCAGCTGAACAATGAATTGGAGGGCAATTATTCAAAAACTTCAGTTTATCAAGATCGAGTGTTGTTGTAACGGCTCAAGTCCACCGCTAGCACATATTGTCCTATTTGGGCTTTCCCTTTCGGACTTACCCTCAAGGTTTTTAAAATGCTTCTGATAGGGAGAGGTTTCCACACTCTTATAAAGGGTGTTTCGTTCTCCTCCCCAACTGATATGGGACCTCATAGTTGTAGTTCTCCTATCAACTTTAAATGTAGGATTAACTTGGAAAGAAATCTGTTTTTTTTTTTTTTTTTTTTTTTCCTGTAATGATCTCTGAGTATCGAGGGTCGAACTCCTTGCATTATGGTCATAGCTTATGCTCATTTAACTTTACATAGGTCTTCCCTACGCTAAGGCTCGGGTCGAGAGAGATTTTGAATCATTTACTTACCTACTGGACCTTGAATTGGGTATCTCCAAACACCCCAAACCTTGTCACCAGAAAAAGAAATAACATCAGACAATGTGAAAGAGATAGCTCTGCTAATTGATTGCTTGGCATTTCAACTTGAAGTAACTTGTAACCTATAGCTCTTGCAATGTCTTTTCATTATTACTGAATCCTTAATGAGGGGCTTTGACTTATAGGTTGATGGTATGAATATAGGCCTAACTCTGGGTTTAAATCAACGAAACGGAACTCTTGGGCTGTCTCTTTCAGAATGCGGATGCAATGTCAAACATATCTCCATACACGTGCACGGTGGCGCATCTTGGCTTTACCAAGGGTATGCAACCGATAACTATTCCGGGGTTTGCCTGCTCCTGACCCTTTTGAATTGTAACTGCTCTCTTGATTCAAATATTCTCTTCAAATTTAACGCATTGAACAATTGAATCAAAAGTTTAGAATGTACCAAACCAATCTTCATTTCGCTTTAGTTCGTTTGGCTTGCTGGAGATGATTATGGTTACGTGATCAGAGTTTTCGTTACCGGTTGATATATTGATGCTAATCTTTGCTTGCTTTGTGTGCATGGTTAGATATTAAACAACTTGGGGGCTATATTTTTTTGTTCAGGTTGGTTGATGCTTTTGAAGGAAAAATAGAGTCAACAGTTGAAGATAATATTTCCAAAAAAATTAAAGAAGGGGTCGTAAAGCTCGACTCGTCGTTGGGGTCACTTCCACGAGAAATCTCGCTAGCTCATGTTGCGGTTCTAAACGTCACTTTTGTGGGGAGCCCTGTGTTGTCCTCTTCTTCCATTGAATTCAAAATTGATGGTTTATTCAGCCCTTTGAACAAGACAATAGTTTCTAGCTATAACCGAGCCGATACCGAAGATTCCAGCAATGGAATATCTCGACGTGAAAATGTTCTCGATTCAGCTTCTCGTGTTCCCTTTAGAGTAAGTTCTTATACACGAAGACTCCGATTTTTCTTTACCGTTTCTTTTGCTAAAGTTTTCCCCTTTTCTTGCAGTATCTCCGTAATGAAACTGAAGGTTCTGTCTACTGCAATGATTCTGCTAAGATGCTTGAGATCTCTCTACATGAAAGTGTCCTCAACTCTGCATCACAAGTTATCTTTGAAGTAAGTTCTCCTTGATGAATACTCCCATCCCAGGGTTATTATAACGGCCTAGGCCCACCGCTAGTAGATATTATCTTTTATGGGCTTTCCCTTTCGGGCCTTCCCTTGAGGTTTTTAAAACGCGTCTGCTAGGTAGAGGTTTCCACACCCTTTATAAAGAGTGTTTCGTTCTCTTCCCCAACCGATGTGGGATCTCACAATCCACCCCCCTTCAGGGCCCAACATCCTCGCTAGCACTCGTTCCTTTCTCCAATCGATGTGGGACCCCCACTAAATCCACCTCCTTTGGGGCCTAGTGTCTACCCCCATTCGGGGAACAACCTCTTCGTTGGCACATTGCCCGGTGTCTGACTCTGATACCATTTGTAACAGCCCAGGTCCACCGTTAGCCGATATTGTCTCTTTTAGGCTTTCCCTCAAGGTTTTTAAAACGCGTTTGCTAGGAAGAGGTTTCTATACCCTTATAAAGAATGTTTCGTTCTCCTTCTAACTGATGTGCGATCTCACATGAATGCACCCCTTTTATCGATTCATTTGGATCAGGGAAATGCTCAACTTAACAGTTATTATGTGGCCAGGAGAATTTTATGCACTGGATCGTGGACAAAATTCCTGATCAGCACCTTTTGAACACTGCAGCATGGAAATGGATTATTCCTCTACTCTACAGGCAGTATCCCGATGACGATATTGTCCTGAATATCTCCGCCTCCTCTCCACCTTCCTTGAGACTGCGAGACCAAGATATCGCCGCCTCGATTTATGTCGACATGATAATCGAGGTTGTAAACAATGATGAAGTTATACCGGTTGCTTGCATTTCATTGGTAAGCTCATGCTTCGTAATCTCGAAAAGTTTTGATTTCATTTGATTGAATTTCTTAAATGCAAGCAACCTGTTTGGTTCTGATTCAAACAGGAAGTTACTGCCTCTTTTTCTCCAGTAATCTTGGAGAAGAATTTGGTTGGTCATGTAACCTTGGAAGATCTTTCATTGTCTTTGAAATGGAGCAAGATTGGTCGTATTCACCTTTATCTGATTGAGGTACGATCGCTTTATATTCAAAATATCTCAACGATAAATTACGATGTAAAAGTTGTGAACGAGAATCATTGAACTCGAAGATCATATGTTTCAAAATTTTGCAGAGGACCCTTGTGGGGTTGATCAAAACCGTCGTCGTACCGTTTGTCGACCTGTATCTCTTAAAAGGAGTCCCGTTGCCAAGTTTTCATGGATTAGCCCTCGAGGACGTCGAAATGGCTTTCAATTCTTCAAGGATCATCATGTGCAGCGATGTTGCCTTGAGTGAGGGGTTTAGGCAGCTAAAAGCATCAATATGACCGTCATACACGGCTACTTACGTGTAAATTTTCTCGTTCATGTGAATAGTTAGAAGCAAAAGAAAGTTGAAAGAGGAAACCCATTTATTTGTAAACACGTAATAAAACTATAGACCAGGCTCGACCCGACCCATGCATATGTAATTAGGTCAAAGAAGCTCGTGCCCCTTTTCATCGTTCACGTCCCTACAACTAGAAATTGAATTGTGAATGTTGATATTAGAATGTAAAAGTTATGCACTTGATAATCAAGGATGTTGACTATGTCTAGGTAAAGGTAAGATACTCATGCACGGCTGTCGACGACATTGCTAGTTTCAAGAACACGAAATATGCATATAATTATATTTAATTTCGTAGACCATAGGTAAGGTTGTTTTATTTTTATTTATGTCTAGTTTTAATTTATTATTCCTTTAATATTGTTTTAAGAACACGTTTTAAAATGATATTTTCATACAAGGTATTACGTCATGCATGCGGTAGGTTGATAGAAAATTTCATTGATGAATTCGACGACTTGATTACATCTCTTCTTCTCCTCTTCAAATAGCTTGAAATTCCAATCGCTTCAAATTCCCACCTCTACAAGAGCAAAAATTCTCATTCTATTTTGGTCGAGATCCTAAATGAACGAAAATTTTCATTCGATTTACATGTTCACAATACGAGCAAACCCCACTTTCAACAAGGCTATATAGACCTTCTAACTCTTAATCGGGTTACCTTTTCAGGTCTCGTCAATGTTGCTTGTAGGTCGTGTTCACCATATTTCAAGCTCTCTTATTCTCTAGAAGAGAAGACGTCGTTTTCTTTGACGGGACGTAGGAATAAAATAGAACAATCGGACGTAAAAGTAAAATGTATCGATGAATGTGAAACATTTTAGGGTTTAGTTTGAAGTGTGTAAGAGAAAGGCAACAGTTTTGTCCCTTCATTGCTTAAAAAAAGCCCTAAAAGGCGACACCGTTCAGTCTCCGGCAGGCCGGCCGGCAAACCCACCTGAAAACAACCACTCATTTGGCCGTATGAACCCCTTCTGCTCGGCTCTGAAAATCTGCAAGGGTGGCAGAGATTTGAACAACATTTGCATCTTTTTCTTTCTTTTTTTGACCATTCCACCATTTTTGCTTCCCTTTTTGTCTGCCACCTGGGAGATAAGGGTACGTAGTTTTGCATGGGTGATAGAGCTTTTTTACGAATCCGACACTAAAAAGTTTCGGTCGGGGTGTTTGAAAATTCCATGATCCGAAAAATTCGATCAACCGTACTGTTTACGTTGAGTTATGAATTGAGTTGGGTTAACGTTCAAATAAATTAAAATTTTATATATAGAATTGATTCATGAGTTTTAGTACCCGTAGATTGTGTTGAACAGAACCAACTAAAATTTATTGTTAATTTTAAAATATACATTTTTGTTTACGATACAATTATATGGTAAGATCCCACATCCGTTGAAGACTGAGAAAAAAACTTTTATTACAAGGGTCTAAAAACCTCTCCCTAACTTAATGTGTTTTAATATCGTGAGGCTTATGACGATATGTAACAGGCTAAAGCAGACAATATATGTTTGTAGTTAGCTTGAGTTGTTACAAATGGTATCAGGATCAGACTGGACGGTGGGCTTGAAATGAAACAATGTGCTAACAAGAATGTTGGGCCACCTTGATTGGAGAGGAAAACAAAACATTCCTTATAAAGTGTGGAAACCTCTTCCTCACAAACATGTTTTAAAACCGTGAAATTGACGGCGCTATGTAATGAACCAAAACAGACAATATCTATTAGTGGCGGGCTCAAGTCTAAAAAACATTCTAACTCGACCCATGAACACCCCTAAATTTTAGTACAACGAAAGTACCTTCTCATTAAATTTGCTATTATAAAAAGAATTTTTTGACAGACGTAATCTTCCATCCTTCTCATTAAATTTGATATGATAAGTAGTGAATAGAACGATTATTTATACTCTTGTAGAACCGTAAACATTTTCTCATTAAACGACCATTAAGATAATCTTAATCCTAACTAAAATTTAAAAATTACACTAAAAACATATTGGTTCAAATCATTTTTTGAATGATCATAGATGGTAATAGGGTTAGTTAATTTGGTAGTTAAAAGTTGAAAAGCGTAGAGAGAAGGCAAAAGGGCCAACCGCCACCTCGTATCTCGTGCTCCGGCGACCATCACGGCGGCGATGACTTCTAGAGAGAGAAAGAGAGGACCATTTTTTTCCTTTTTTGTTGGATAGCGTGCAATTTTAACAGAATTTGACTACACCATCTCCAACCCCCTCACTTCTATTTTATTTTATTTTATTTTAATTAAATTTTCAAAATTTTTAATAATATTAATTAAAATCTTAAAATTATATTAGTTTTAGATGAAACCGATAATATTTTATTTTTAAAATAGTTTTGAACTTTTAATAGTGTTTCAAAAATATACTTGAATTTTCGAAAATTTCATTAACACCTTTCAACTTTTGTTTTTTAACCATTCAAAAATATTTTAAAAGTATTATTAACCTTTTTAACTTTAAAATTCAATTTTTTTTTTACTGTCAATATATGGACGAAAACCGTCTATGGACACATTATCGATTGTCTAAAAAATTTTAATGTTACCTTATAAAGTTTATGAGTATTTTTTTAAACGTGGTAATATTTTTATTTTTTTTAAAAAAACTTAAAAAGTATTTTTGAAATTTTTTAAAAAAATTTAAAAGATATTTTTTAAAAATATTTTAAAAAAATTAAAAGTATTTTTTCCCTCTTTCTTCATCCATCCATACATACATTCATACATACATACATACATACATACATACATACATACATACATACATACATACATACATACATACATATATATACACGATAATTTTCATTTCTAATATAATTTCTATTTAAAAAATGCAAAACATCTCAATAAATCTAATAATATTTTATAAGGAAAAATATAATAACATAATTTCTAAAGGGGTCGGTGAGGATTAGGGTGGGTCCAGGGACCGGGAATGTAATTTCCTTCTCCGATTTTGTTTAGCTAACGAATAGAAATCTCTTATCGCTCCCTCCCACATTCTTCGTTTCCATGGGTATTTCCCACCTTGTTCGAGACAGGTCCCTATGAAGCCTCAATCTTGTAGGTTAAATGAACGTCTCTAATTAAAATCAAATTTATGACTTCAACCATTCGATAAATTTGGCAAGCCACGTCATTGCCAGAGATTATGTGGATTGAAAAATAACGTCAATATTCAATAATTTATTTCTTAGTATATGTCCAAAATGTTTTATTTTCAAAGGGAATGATGATGTTTATAAAAAATATATATATATTAACATTCGTACCGTAAACTCAACGTAATTTAGATTTTAGGTTCAGATCATATATAAAATTTCGTCTTATTGACGTTATTTTATATATAATGTCGACAGTGATAATTTCGTCTTATTTCAAAGAACGATTATTATATAAAATTTAATGAGTTGATTTGATGTATGATTTAAGGAAAAAAAAATCGGGTCATGTTACTTTTAATTACGAAAAACGTGGTGCTAGCCCTAGCTTTTGTAGGGTTTGATTTTTGGTACCAAAAGTTAGTCAACAAACAAAGCCTACGACCTAATTAATAATTATAAATTTTTGTTATCTTAAGATTGTAACACATAAATCTTTCATAGGACGGAGCGGAGACGGGGAAGCTTTTCGCATCCCCGTCCCTGCCTCGTATTTCAATTTCCATCTCTCGAAATTCCTCATTTATTTTTTAGAAGATTGGAATACAGATCGAATCCCTACCGGAAAATTATATATATATTGTATATGTTTATTCGGAGATTTCTTGGGGTCGAAGTTGGAGACGGGGAATATAATTCCATCCCCGACTAAGTTAGTTAACAGGAAAAAATCTTTCTCCACTCCCTTCTCATTCTTCATTCTGTTCGGGCGGGTTCTTGCCCACATCTTTAGTGATACGTTTATAGACAGAGCTAGACGACAACATCATACACTTACCTTTTAAGGAACATGCATAATTGTTTGTTATCTAATTTGTTGGTTAATTATGATGTTAATTACGTAATTAATACATTATAATAAGTCTATAATTATTGATTAATAATTTAATTGTGGTGTAAAAGGAGAAAATTAATTAATTAAAATTTGATTCATTGCATATCATAATGTTGTCAACCATATTGCATGCCAAGCTTTATGATTCTATGTATTTAACAACAAGACAAACACAAGTACTCTATTGTTTCCCTATTTAGATTGTAATTATATTGCCTTGTTTTATTTTTACCTTTTTCTTTATTATTATTATTTTTTTTTCAATTTATTTTCCGAGTATCGTTAGAGTATTCCGTCTTAGTGTGAGATCCCACAAAATATTCCTTATAAGGGTGCGGAAACCTCTCCCTAATAGATGCGTTTTAAAACTGGGAGACGATAATACATAACTGTGATGTCCTGCATTGGTTGGGAGGAGAATAGAACGCCCTTTATAAGGGTGTGAAAACCTTCTCCTAGACGCGTTTTGAAGCCTTGAGAGGAAGCCCGAAGAGGACAATATCTACTCGCGGTGGACTTGGGCCATTATAATAACGGACCAAAGCGGACAATATTTGCTAGCAGTGGGTTTGGGTTGTTACACTTAGTGTCGAAGGTAGGTGTAAAATATTAGAATTTGGAATCCATATTTAGAATATATAATCCCGACATTCCTGTTTGATTACAAAGGAACAAAAAATTGAATTTAGGGTTTCATTTATTTGGTGTACCAGTTATCGTACCCACTGTAAACGTTGGGTAGCCAAGTGCGGAGCAGATAACTGTTGAAAGAATCTAAGTAGTAAGCTCACTCCAAGATGAGTGCTCTCCTATTCTGACTTCCTTAGAGCCTCCGGTAGCACAGCTGAGACAACGATGGGTTCTCTGCCCCCAGCAGAAGTTTTGAGAATTCAAGGGAAGGGAAGCGATGGTTCAAGGGAAGTGAAGCGATGGGTTCTCTGCCCTACTGGGATGGAGTGGCAGAAGTTTTGAGAATTCAAGGGAATATCTCTGTGAGATGAGCCAAGCCGAGACAACGATGGGTTCTCTGCCCCTGTAGGGATGGAGCGTCACGACGAGATGAGCCATTTATCATCACGATAGGTGTCAAGTGGAGCCGAGACACCGATGGGTTCTCTGCCCCTGCAGGGATGGAGCGGCAGAAGTTTTGAGAATTCAAGAGAAGGTCACGGCAAGATGAGACATTTATCATCACGATAGGTGTCAAGTGGAAGTGCATTGATGTATGCAGCCAGGCATCCTACAGATCAGTAGACTTAACCTTGTTCCT